ATCTCATTCAAAATAAAAAAAATAGTTAACAATTATTATTTTATTTTATTTATTTACTATTATAACAAAGAAAAATATTCGGATTTATTTTTTTAAATAATACACGAAATAATAGTTTATATAATTAGTATCAATTAATTATAATAAAAAGCCAGTCATTCAAACATATTTTTTTTATGAAAGTTGTTTGAAAAATGTATTAATAGGTATAACAAAAAGAACAAAGAACAGAATTACTCGACCCGCATCTGGTTGATCTCTCCACATAGCTTCTGCCTTGAAAAATTCTTTAACAGTTTAGTCTTGATAGGGATCATTGGGTGTGTTTTATCTATGGTGTCAATATGGTTAAGGGAGTAATCCCGTCTTCTCACATCCTCAAACACAACTTCATAGTTATCGCACTGGTCGAATGTTTCTTTACACAAAAAGAGTGCGTCGTCTTCCATTGCTGTTATAATTTTAAAGATGGAAAACCTTTTATTTCAAATACTCTCTCGAAAACAAAGACTTTGTTGGCGTTTTGTTTGGTAGTCCTCGTTTTGTTGTAATTTGAGGTCTTTCACAATTGTATTGTCAAAATTTGATAAGAAACGTTCTGGGCATTTTGAGGAACAAACACAAAGTGAAGTCAACTTGTGTTTTGGTTTCTGGATAAAAAATTTGATTTTAATTGTCATATTATTAAAATTATAATAAAAACAACTATTGTGTTTACAAATATAATTAACTAAACTTTAATTATAATTATCATATTAATACTTAAAATATTTTAATATTAAAATATTAAAATATTTTTAATAAACCTGATTACTTATTATAATACTTTTTTTATACATTTAAATAATTTAATAATAATAATATTTTAGGTATTTAAGTTTTATATTATTAAATAATTAAGGATTGGTTTAATATAGAACGTCTGTATGTATGTTAATTTGTAATTCATTCAAAATAGATATATTACTATTATTTATATTCATTTAACAATTTACCAACAAAACAATTTCATTTACACTGTTTATGCCTGTTATTATTTGTTGACCAAAACTACAAAAACAACATTATAATACTTATATTAATATAATAATAAATAAATAAAAAATTCCAAATTATAGTTTTTTTATGTACCTTACAAGAACTTATGTATCACCAAGAACCAACTTGTCTTATAACCTAAATACCCGACAAATCAGAATTAGATTGCCCTGGTTTTTCGACTAATCATTCATAGGTATTTAAATAAAAAAAATATAATAAAAATATATTATAATTTTACTTTTAAAATCAGCTGAGAGAAGTTATTTCCTGGTGAAAGATAGGTTGCTATACTGTAAAAATTGATTTAAATCTCCAGTATTGTTTTTAACTTTGGTTTGTTTCACTTTAAATTGTATATATTTCTTTTTTTAGCTTAAAAAAGGTAATTACTACATACAAATAGACAAAGTGTAACTTTTTATTAAAAAATGTAAAGATTTTTGGGTGAAAAAAGTTACAAAAATCAGGAAAAAAATCAAACAGAAAAGTTTTTAAAAAAATAGCTTGAAACAACTAAAAAAAGAGTATGTCATACATCAGTACTTCGTTTTTCGTAGTGATGCTTTTTACGTTTGTATGCGCATCTATACCGCTCAACCATTTTGTAAACTCACAAACTTTAACATCGTCTTTTCAAACCCGAAAATACAACACAAAAGAAGGGTTGGACGACCACACGATCATCCAAGATGGGGTGTGTCTTCAAATTATCGATGTGAACGAGACCAGCAATAACAATATTGTTTCGTGTTTATCAAGTTACTTTTTGATGAACAACAAGTGTGTTTTATGCTCGTCAAAATATACGCACTGCACAAACTGTGATAAACTGCAGTGTACGCAATGCGAGAGGGGGTTTACATTTCTTGAAGGGAGAACATGTGTGAACAAGAGTTGTGTCGATGGAGAAATTGTTGACGAGAATGGGCAATGTGAAGTCCCAAGAGGAAATTGTGGAGGTGGTGTTATGGTGAATTGGCGGTGTGTGTATTGCGATCAAAACTATTTCTATTACCCAAGTGATGGGTCTTGTCGGTCGATAAACAATCAACTCAATTGCGAGCAAAGTTTGCGTGGAGTTTGTACGCGTTGTAAGAGTGGATATTTCATGGACAATGGGGTTTGCGTGAGCTGTGACCAAAATTGTCAAACTTGCAAATTTTCATCGAAGAACTGTTCGTCATGTCCGAGTGGGTTTGTACTCAACAACAATTTGGATGGTACAAAAAAGTGTTCCACTCCAATTGCCGCAAATCCCGAGTGCTTGGAATTCAACGACGATAGCCCAATTTGCAGGGTGTGCCGAGATGGATTTTATTTCAAAGACAAAAAATGTGTGAAATGCCCAGACGGTTGCGAGTTGTGTAACAGCAAGTGTTTAACGTGCAACTCAAGTTACTATCTGACCATAACAGGAATGTGTAAGCCTAAAAGTGATATGGAAGACGTGTGCAATGGTGTGATAAATTCATATGGATGCGACAAGTGTAAACCAGGGTTTTATACTTTCAATAAAGAGTGTTTTAAATGTGACACTGGGTGTATTGTGTGCAAAACAGGGTTGTCATGCATTCAATGCGATGAAAATCGAATATTAAAAGAAGGGAAATGTCACTTAGCAGAAGGTGTGCCAGGGTGTACAAGTGTTTCAAACTCGATGTGTGCTACTTGTAAATTTTGGAGTCACCCAAGTGACAATGGACTTTCATGTGAGAATGCCCCTGTGTGGTGGGTTTTCTTTGTTTTATTTTTGGTTGTATTGGGGGTGATTGGGTTACTTGTCTTGATTGGATTTGTGTTGTGGAAGTTACACAAAACAATCGAGACACAGAAGGTTGAAGAAAATCTGACTCTATTTGAAATGAAACGGTCGAACATCCAATTTATTACTTTGAAGAATGGAATTTGTGTTAGTACGAACGAAATCAACTTTAACATGGAGACAAACGGCATTCCAGTTAACAAAGAATCCCGACAAATACTGTGCATAGGGAATGACAACGAATACACAATAAATGTTCAACTCACGTCGGACAATTCAGAAAAAAAGTATTTGTTGCGGATGGAACCTGCTATTGTAACACTTAGAAAGGGGGTTGCGTGTGAATTTGAAATTTATATCACCCCCAACTTTACATGTAACATTTCGTCTGTGGCCAAGATCGTTTCAAAGTCGCTAGAAAATGGAGATGAGAATATAACTGATATTACCATAAATGCAATTACAGAGAGTTCTATTCGCATAGACCCCGATGAGTTGATTGAAGAAGAGATAATAGGAGCAAGCAATTTTGGGATTGTGTATCAAGGGAAATTGAGTAACAAATACGTTGTAGCAATCAAAAAGATGAAACATAGCACCGATGAAGAGGGAACACAAACCGAGTTTGAACAAGAGGTTGAACTCCTCGAGAAATGCAAGAATCAATATTTACCCAAATTCTACGGCGCAGTGTTTGTAACAACCAAAATTTCATTTGTTGTTGAATTTGCGGAGTATTTAAGTCTTCAAGATGTTATGGAAAATTACAGTCCCAAAGATGTTGGATTACCACTTCGAATAAAAATGATGAGCGACGCAGCCAATGGTTTGTTGTATCTCCATGACCACGAAGTTTTGCACGGCGACTTGAAACCGACAAATATTTTGGTGTTCTCGTTGAACATGAAGGAGACGGTCAACGCAAAACTGACTGGTTTCGGCTCGATGAGAAATGTCAAGTTACTCCAACAAAACTTGGCAATGACAAAAGAAGTTGACTCGCCAAAGTATTTTCCACCAGAAATACTTATGCAAGGGAAGTATACCAAAGCCAGTGATGTGTTTTCGTTGAGTATTGTTATGTATGAGTGTTTTGGGTGGAAAGAGGCATACCCTAAAGAAGATTTCAAATTTCAATGGAAAATTGCAGAGTTTGTGACTGGTGGAAAGAGGCTTAAAAACGTCGAGAAGATCCCAGTTAGACATTTCATTCTGATAACAAATTGTTGGTGCCA